TTTCTTAACTTACAGCATATGATATGGTTTTTCACCTGAGTCCTGTTGAACAACAGGAAGTGACTCCAAAGGGACCTGCTTTGCATTGCAACAAAAAAATTAAGATACTTAGGAATAAACTTAACCAAGGAGATAAAAGAACTGTATTCAGAAAACTACAGGTCGTTGAAAAAATAGAGGAAGATATAAATAAGTGGAAGGATATACCATGTTCATGGATTGGTAGAATCAACATCATTAAAATATCCACACTACCCAAGGCAATCTACAGAATCAATGCAATCCCTATTAAAATACCAAGGGCATATTTCACAAATCTAGAACAAATACTCCAACAATTTATATGGAACCAAAAAAGGCCTCAAATAGCCACAAAACAAGTTTCAATAAATTTAAGAATGAAATCGTATCAAGTATTGTCTCTAATTACAATAGTATGAAATTAGAAATCAAGTACATGAAGGAAACTGAAAAACTCACAAATACATGGAGGCTAAATGACACACTATGAAACAATGAATGGGTTAACAACAAAATCAAAGAAGAAATCAAATGATACCTTGAAACAATAAAATGAAAATACAATGACCCCAAATCTGTGAGACAAAGCAAAAGCAGTTCTAAGAGGGAACTTCTTAGTAACACAGGCCTACCTCAAGAAAAATCTGAAATAAACAAACTTACACCTAAAGGAACTAGAAGAACAAAAACAAAGCCAGAGTAGAAGGAAGGAAATAATCAAGATCAGCATAGAAATAAACAAAAGTCTAAAAAAATAATACAAAAGATCAATAAAACCAAGACCTGGTCTTTAAAAAGATAAAATCGATAAAACTTTACCCAGACTCATAAAGAAAAAAGAGGATCCAAATAAATAAAACCAGAAGTGAAACAGAAGTGACACCACTGGAATGCAAAAGATTATAAGAAAACTAGTGGCCCAGTGCACAAATTCGTGCACATTGAAAGAAAATTAATTAGAAGAAATATTTTAATATCACTATTCGCTCTTTCTCTATAATAGAAGTGTCAACCTAATTCATGATCGACAATGACAGAGCAAAACACACGCATTCAATTGGCACCAGCAAGAGCTTCATATATATCGTGCATGCACGAGTCAACTTAGCCTTTTATATATATAGAACTAGAGGCCCGGTGCACGAAATTCATGCACTGGGGGTGGGGGAGTCCCTCAGCCCAGCCTGCTCCCTCTCACAGTCCGGGAGCCCTCAGTGGATGTCCTACTGACAGCCACAGTCTGGCAGCAGAGGCTCGGAGCAGGCGCCCCTCTGTATTGATCTCTCAGGCTCCTGGCCTCGCCTGGGTGTTGTTCTCTCCCTTGAGCTGCGGCCAGGGCGGGGACCCGCGAGCAGGCCCTGCTGGGTGCTGCCTGCTGTGGGCGCTTGCCTGCTCGCCGGTCGCCAAGGCAATACCTGCTGGGCTCACATTGCCAGGGTGATGCTGCCAGCGTCCTGCCATAGCTGCTATGGGCGCTGCCACCTTTGTCGAAGAGTGAAGGTTAATTTGCATATTACTCTTTTATTAGATAGGATAAACTTGCTTAATTAGACCTGCTTTCTGATTGAAACTTTTTCCAGCCCAGTGAAGCACCCCAACTTCTCTTTCAGGTAATTTCAAGGTCCACCATTTCTTTTCTTTTTTAAATATATTTCTTTATTGATTTCAGAGAAGAAGGGAGGGGGAGATAGAGAAACATCAATGATGAGAGAGAATCATCGATCGGCTGCCTTCTGCACGCCCCCCACTGGGGATCGAGCCCACAACCTGGGCATGTGCCCTTGGTTGCATGGGCCATGAAGTTTCAATCGCACTGTACATGCGTACCTGCACGTGGTATTTTGTGGAAGAACCACACTCAAGGGGCCAAAGAGCCGCATGTGGCTTGCGAGCCGCAGTTTGCCAACCACTGGGCTAGGGCAAGGTCCATCATTTCTGACTTCTTTCCAGTTGGGTCAAATTTCTAAGCTTTCTAAATCTCCATTTTCCAGATAATGAAAAGAAAATAGGATTCCACCGAACCTCCTATCTACCTAAACCAGGACTTCTGTGAGGATCAAATGAGATGAGGCACAGGAAAACGCTTCACAGACACTTGGTTAAAGTGTAAAATGTTTCCACCTGTGTTCTCGGGCTGAAGAAACCGCAAAGAGGCTAGTCGTCACTAGGAAGAGGAAGCTGGGCGTTGCTATGTGACGTCATTACCCGGCGCCCACAGTGACCATTTCTGGGCTGGGCTGTGGGTTGCATTTTGCACCACAGGGTCTCGGCAGTGTTGGCTGCGATTTGGTGGGGTGTCGCTCGGGGTGGTGGCAGAGCCTGTGTCCCACTTGGGGGATGCCCAGTGATGCTTTGTCAGCGCCGGGTCCACAGTGCCGTTTCTCTGTGCACATCACAGCAGCTCCTGTGTTGAGCATCTGCCCCCTGGTGGTCAGTGCGCGTCATGGCGACCAGTCGGACAGTGGGAAGGACACTTAGCGTACTAGCCTTTTACATATACAAATACTATGAGTCTTGGCTGGTATGGCTCACTTGGTTGAGCATAGTTCCATGCACCAGAAGGTCACCAGTTCAATTCAGGTTGTAATTCTATCCCCAGAAGGGATGTATATGGGATGCAGCAATTGATGTTTCTCTCTCATATCAATATTTCTCTCTCCCTTCCTCTCTCTCTAAAATCAATACAAACATATTTCAAAAAAAGAGTACGGCCCTAGCCAGTTTGGCTCAGTGGATAGAGCATCACCCTGCGGACTAAAGGATCCTGGGTTAGAATCCAGTCAAGGGCCCATGCCCAGGTTGTGTGCTCAGTCCCCAGTAGGGAATTTGCAGGAGGCAGCAGCCATCAATGATTCTCTCTCATCACTGATGTTTCCATCTTTCTCTCCCTCTCCCTTCTCTGAAATTAATAAAAATATATATAAAAATAAAATTTTAAATTACCTATTAAAAAAAAAGAGTATGTTTAAAAAAATACTATGAACAATTATATACCAATAAATTGGATGATCTGGAAGATGGATAAATTTTTAGAAATATACAGCCTTCCAAAACTGAGTAAAAAAGAAACAGAAAATCTGAAGAGACTAATAACTACTAATAAAATCAAATCCGTAATCAAAAAACTCCGAATAAACAAAAGTCCAGGACTGAATGATGTCACAGGTGAATTTTACCAAACATTCAAAGAATACCTATCCTCATACTCCAAAAAATTGAGGGAAGACTCCCAAGCTCATTTTATGAGACCAGCTTTACCCTTATTCCAAAACTAGACAAAAACATTACAAAAAAAAGAAAATTATAGACCAGTGGTCAGCAAACTCATTAGTCAACAGAGCCAAATATCAACAGTACAATGATTGAAATTTCTTTTGAGAGCCAAATTTTTTAAACTTAAACTATATAGGTAGGTACATTGTTATTAACTTTAATTAGGGTACTCCTAAGCTGGCCTTTGCTAAAAACATCCTCAATCTGATTGAGGTATGTTTGCTGAGGTCAACCCCTTCCAACTCTCCCATCCACACTCGTCTTGTATACTTGTTTCGTCTATCTTTTGTCAACCGCGCGCGATTTGCAGACACGATAGCACTAACCACTACACAATGAGACTGCTGACTGACTGGCTCACTCAACTCGTGCATGAATCACACGCGCCTCCCACGTGCTGTGTATCCCGCGGCCCGCCTGCGCTGCGTCTCCCGTCGCCCGACCGACTTGACACCCCCCACTTCTAACGCCACTTCTTCAAAATAGACTCGCCCAGGCCGAAAACCAACTTCTGTGCACGGGCCACGAAGTTTCAATCGCACAGTACGTGTGCGCCCGCACGTGGTATTTTGTGGAAGAGCCACACTCAAGGGGCAAAAGAGCTGCATGTGGCTCGCGAGCCGCGGTTTGCCAACCACTGCTATAGACCAAAAGCCTGATGAACAGATGCAAAAATCCTCAAATATTAGTAAATTGAATCCAGTAGTACGTTAAAAAGATCACAAACCACAATCAAGTGGGATTTATTCCTGAGATTTATTTATTCCTGAGATTAGTTCAATATCCACAAATCAAATAACATGATACACCACATTTAAAAATGATGGGTGATCCCCTGACCGGTTTGGCTCAGTGGATAGAGCGTCAGCCTGCAGACTGAAAGGTCCCGGGTTCGATTCCGGTCAAGGGCATGTACCTTGGTTGTGGACACATCCCCAGTTGGGGGTGTGTAGGAGGCGGCTGATCGATGTTTCTAACTCTCTAACCCTCTCCTTTCCTCTCTGTAAAAAATCAATAAAAAATATTAAAAAAAAAAAAAAAGAAAAAAGAAAGCCAAAACCGGTTTGGCTCAGTGGATAGAGCGTCAGCCTGCGGACTCAAAGGTCCTAGGTTCGATTCCGGTCAAGGGCATGTACCTTGGTTGCGGGCACATCCCCAGTAGGAGGTGTGCAGGAGGCAGCTGATCGATGTTTCTCTCTCTCATCGATGTTTCTAACTATCTCTCTCCCTTCCTCTCTGTAAAAAATCAATAAAATATATTTAAAAAAATAAAATAAAATAAAAATAAAAATGATGGGTGAAAATCATGTGATCATATCAATAGATGCAGAAAAAGCATTCAACAAAATCTAGCATCAACCTGGCTGGTTTTGCTCAGTAGTTGGTTGTCAACCCATGAACCAGAAGGTCACAGGTCAATTCCCGGTCAGGACACATGCCCAGGTTGCAGACTTTATCCCCAGTAGGCAGCTGATCCATGATTCTCTCTTATCATTGATGTTTCTATCTCTCTCCCTTCCTCTCTCTAAAACTAATAAAAACATTTTTTTAATCCAACATCCGTTTATGATAAAAACTCTCAGCAAAGCAGAAATAGCGGGGACTTACCTCAACATGATAAAAAGCATATATGACAAGCCCACAGCTAACATGATACTCAACTGGAAAAAGCTAAAAGCATTTTCCTTATGATCAATGTACCTGTCCAATTTCCCAACACCATTTATTGAAGAGGCTGTCCTTACTCCATTGTATGCTCTTGCCTCCGTTGTCAAATATTGAGTTTGAATGGCTTGGATCGATTTCTGGATTCTCTGTTCTGTTCCATTAGTCTATATGCCTGTTCTTGTGCCAGTACCAGGCTGTTTTGAGTACAGTGGCTTTGTAGTATAACTTGGTATCTGGTATTGTGATTCCTCCAACTTTGTTCTTCTTTCTCAAGACTGCTGTGGCTATCCAGGGTCTTTTATTGTTTCCATATAAATTTTTGGAGCGTTTGTTCTAGATCTGTGAAATATGCCATTGGTATTTTAATAGGGATTGTATTGAATCTATAGTGAGTCATCAGCTGTTAAAGTGTGTATACATTTTTTGGGAGACACCCTGGGTATACACACTTTTAATAATTATAAAGGCAGTGTTTGTACTTCAACTGTATTTTCAAACTTCTAGTAGCATTTCAGGATGAATTTCCTTTGTTCAAACCTTAGTCTGGCTGAAAAGAAAGAAACATCAATTGAGCTAACAGCTGTTAAAATGTGTATACATGTTTTGGAGACACCCTGTAGATGAGAGGATTAGAATACAGAATCAAAAATCCAGAAATAGATCTAACTATGAAGGAATTTCACACATGACAGGAATTTCTCATTCACCTAATCCAGCGGTTCTCAACCTGTGGGTCGCGACCCCTTTGGGGGTCGAACGACCCTTTCACAGGGGTCGCCTAAGACCATCAGAAAACACATATATAATTACATATTGTTTTTGTGATTAATCACTATGCTTTAATTATGTTCAATTTGTAACAATGAAATTGGGGATCACCACAACATGAGGAACTGTATTAAAGGGTCGCGGCATTAGGAAGGTTGAGAACCACTGACCTAATCCATCTAATGCGTCCTGTTCAGTCAGTAACCACGAGCCACATGTGGCCATTGAGCACCTAAAATACCTAAAATATGCCTAGTCTAAACTGAGATGTGATGTAAGTAAAATATACACCAAATTTCAAAGACTTAGTATAAAAACAAGAACATAAAATATCTCATTAACAATTGTTTAAAATTAATTACATGTAAAAATATTTTTTTATAGAATGGGTTTAGTTGGTGAAATTAAATTTCACCTATTTTTTTTTTTTTTACTTTTTTAAAATGCAGCCACAAATAAAAAACTTGAGTGGTTTACATTATATTTCTAATGGACAGAACCGCTCTAAGGAAAAATAAAGATAAAGAGTTAAATTTAAAAATAAAAAATACTATACGAGAACCTAGGAAAGTAAATTAGAATCTGAGGATCAGGATGGATTTCTTAATGAGGACAACTTGTCACATGTACACGTGTACGTAGAAATAGATAAAAAGACAAACAACACAATAGGAAAAGCAGGCAAAGAGCAGGATTGGAAATGCACAGAAAAACAAATCCCAGTGACAAACAAAGAACAAAAAGATACTCTAAATTACTAAGGAAGAGGAAATGCGATTTAAGTGACTAAGACATCTCTTTACTGGTTGGGGGGGTGGCCAACACAGATGACACTGTTGGGGATGTGGGAAAAGGGACAAGCTCATGCACTGCTGCCGAGGGACATGTGAAGAATAACAGGCTCCTGAAAAACCAACATCGCAATACCCATTAAAATTAAAGCTATAGAATACCCTTCAACACAGGAACCATTCTCAGAGTAAGAAATCCACCCAGTCGGTATTGACATATGTTCAGAGAATCTGTATTGTGACACTATTTATGCAGCAGCAAAAATTAAAAAAGGAAACTAAGAAACATTCAATAAATTAATAAATGCCATCTGCTGATAAAAGGCTGAAAAATGTATGGTACCTGCAACATAAGTTAGGCAATCATTAAAAACGTTAAATGAAAAATATTCGCAAAATTTTTTACACTTGAAATATCAACACTGGCTCCGTGGTAGGGATAGACTATCTCATAACATGCTGGTGCAGGCATAAATAGGTTCAACCTTATGGGAAGACTCTATTAGACGTTTAAATGTCCATGCCTTTTGATCCAGCAGCCCAACTTCCAGAAATCTATCTTATTACTTTATGGCATGACAATCTAAACATACCTGTGCAAATATATCAAATCATTATGTTACACGCCTTAAGCTACTACAACACTGTATGTCAATTATATTTCAAAACTGAGGGGGAAAGATATATGTACAAGGATGTTCACTATAGCCTTCATTTAGTAAGACTTGGAAAGAACCTAAATGTGTACTCTAAATAAAATAGCTGAGTAAGTTATGTCTACAGAATAAAATAATAACACAGACTTGAAAAAGAATGAGGTGGCTTAATATTACTGAACTAAAAAGACAGAAAATAGTATAAAGTACAAAAAGCCCAAACTGAAGACTGTCTATGTTTGAAATTTTTCATAATTAAGTAAATGAAAAAAAGGGAGTGGGGGGGAGGAATTAGGTACGTTGCCTTTTTCTAAGAAATCTGAACAGTTGAAACCTCTCCACCTGCACCGCTAATATAGCTATTTCTTCTATACGACTCATTAATTTCAAGCCATCTTCTTCTCTCCTTTCCTGATATAAAAATATTAAAAATATGTTTATAAATTTTCATCTCATTAAAAAACCCATCTCATTATAATTCACTTTTTGCATCCCTTGGCATAAATCAGCATTACAACACTCATCACTCTCCCTGCAAAGCCAGGCTACCTTAGAATTGAGGCATTTTGTGAACTAGAACAAGTACTGCTGCTACAATTTCTAATGGCCCAATAGCAATGATGGTGTTAATAAATGTCATTTTCTCAAGTTTAATCCTCTTCAATCATTGGCTACTGAAAAGAAAAGTGAGCAAAAGAACAGTAAAGAAAAAGTAGACCGCCTGTATTTAGCACGTGTGATCACAAATCTTTATAACTCGCACATCTGAATAGTTTCTGCAAATACATAGTTTCTGGCTCCCAGGATGAGGCTAAACGCCGAGCACTGTTTGTAAAGAGCATCCCAACTTACACGGGCCACGTCGGGCCTCTGGCCACCGCCCTGGAGGGAACATCAGAACAGGTGCCTCCTTCAGTCCGACTCCGCAGCCAGGGGCGCGGGAGAGGAGGCGCGACCCTTCCGCACCGCAGGGCCCACTCCCGGCCCAGCTCCTCCCGCCCCGCCGCCCTCCCCCTCCAGCCCCGGGCCCCGCGCAGCTACCGGGCAGCAAGGCCGCCGCAACGCGTCCCGAGTCCACACAAGCACCATCTACTCGCGGAGCTCGCGCGCAGCCCCAACACGGGTAAGGGAGCGGCCGCGACTCGGTCGCAACCGCGGCGGAGCCAAGGAGCTTGGAACAAAGGCGAGCAGCAGAGGCGCAGGCCCGCTCCCGCGGGGTTGCCACTCCGGGGGGACAAGATCACAGGGCGAGGGGCACGAAGCCCACGGCTGGGAGGACTCACTCCCAGGTGGTCAAGGCTAACCCTAACCCAGTCGGAAGTGACGTGTCCACTGAGACCTGCAGGTCCGCCCCGTAAATGGCCGCCGCAACTAGGCAGCTTCTCCCGACTGGCCAGCCGAGGCAGGTGTAGCTCCAATCCGCCCCGCCCGGCTCCGGCAGCTCCCTGCGCCACCCAGAACCAACCGAACCCAGCCCGAGCCGAGCCGGAGCCCAGCCCAGCGCAGCCGGGTGGGTCAGCTCACCACCCGCGTCCGTCGGCGCCCGCGGGCACTGGGCTTCAGAGCTCAGCCACGCGCATGCGCGGCCCTCAGTGCAGAGGACTCCTGGGCCGCCTGGGCGACCACGTTTCGGCCCCCTGCCCCTCCGGGTCCCTTCTCGCCCGGGACTCCGGCCGGCGTGCCTCACCTCCGGCCTCCCGCCTTCCTCCGCCGCGGGCAGCGCCAGGCCCGCGGCCGCCCGCGGCCACCGGCTCCCAGCACGAGCCTCCAGGAGCGACTTCCGCTTCCGGCGAGTATTGTGTGTCGCGCTGCAGGCGGGGCGGGGGGAGGAGGAAGGAGGCAGCGCTCTGGCGGCTCCGCGCCCCGCACTGCCGGATCCGAGGCCGGGAAGGTAGGTGCCGTCCCGCGCCGGGCCCGGGCCCGGGGTCTGCCCCCGCCGGCCGGCCCGCACGCCGCGTCCCAGCGCCCGCGACCGCGTCACCCGCCCGCAC